CTAGGACTCCAAGATCCCTTTCCACTTCCGTGCCTCCCAGCAGGTCATTTCCTAGGCAGTAGGTGTGCTGGACATTTTTCCTCCCTAGGTGCAGCACTTTGCATTTCTCCTTGTAGAACTGCATTCTGTTGTTTTCTGCCCACTTGTCCAACCTGTCCAGGTCAGCTTGCAGCTGTTCCGTGCCCTCCAGCGTGTCCACTTCTCCCCATAGCTTTATGTCATCCACAAACTTGGACAGAGTACACTTCACTCCCTCATCCAAGTCGCTGATGAAGACATTAAAGAGTATCGGTCCAAGGACCGAGCCCTGCGGGACCCCACTGCCCACACCCTTCCAGGTCGAAACTGACCCATCCACTACGAGATGGAGTTGTACTAGATGACCTCCAAAGGTCCCTTCCAAACTTAATTTTCTATGATTTTCTATGATTCTGTGATTACCAACTCAGCCCTTTTAGGTGGGAGTGTCTTGTTCTTAAAGTACAAGACAAATGATGTAGACTCCTGGGTTCTCTTTCTGGCTATCACTGACTCTGTATGTGATTCTGAAGACATTACTTCACCTCTCTATTCCAGAGAGTATAGGCAACTGAATAAATTTCAGAGAGCTAAAAATGGCATCAGAAGCTTATTGTGTGTTCACAGCATTGCAGTAATTGTCCATTCTTACCTCATAGAAAATGAAAGCTAAACTGGAGTAGCTTTGTCCACTTTTACTTGAGGGATAAGCTATTTTGGGTTAGCTTTCACCTAGCATGGGTTAAGAGAAGACACACAGGCAGTAACCACAGAACAACTGATGTGTAATAAATCCCTGCTTCCTCTGAACTCACGGTAATTGTTTTGCTTGTCCATAACCTCAGTCTTTCCCTCTGCAAAATGCTGAGAATTGTTATCATTTCACATTACTACACATAAACATTTGTAAAACAGTTTCACTAGTTGATGAGAGCTATAAGTGCAAACTGCTTATTAATGATCTATTAATCATTAAGTGATCAGTTATGAATGATCAGTGATCTTATTTAATTCTAGGCTGAAACTGATAGCCTGCTACTTTATAACGCCTATTCAAATCCATTAACTATAACTAGCAATTTTCACACCTCTTACTGTTTTATAATCAGAGGCAAAGTGGAATGTAATTTTCAGTCCTGTACTTAAGTATGTTCAGTACCAAGACAGATATAAACTCTGCAGCCAAGCACTACAGTGAGATTCCTGAGCAGAGTAGCACACATGGCTCAGAGCTTTCAGCTATTCATTTTCTTTCATCAAGAATTACATACAGCCTGAAATATTTGGCTGGCGTGATCTGCCTGGTTCATTCCCTGCCTCTCACTGGGAGCACAAGAAGCACATTCAAAAACACTATGTCAGCAGCCAAAAGTCATTCCAAGGGCCAAAGGCATTAAGCACTCTTGAGCAGCATTAAGTAAGCCACACTGAAGTCAGTGATAGCAAAAGTGCTGAATACAGATCCATTGGCACCCTCAGCTACACCTTACCCAGAAAATAACCCCCTATGCTAAGGTGTAAGGAGCCCATGAAGTACTGCTCTTCATATAATGTTGCCTCTTTAAATGGTGCTAATCAGGTTCTGCTTTGTTCAAAGACTTGGGCCACAGCAATTGATTTGAACACATAAATGCTAGCTGCCCCCTCTAGCTGTCATTTGTGAGTCGTGAAACCCCCAAATCCAGTATCCAACTCTTAACACTTCTCTGTATCCAGCTTTTCTAATGCTTTGGAAATTGACTTGTATAGCACAAGCCGATTTCTATTCAGATCCTTGTGAAATGTCCCTTCAGATAACTGTAGACTTCCTTGCAGTTTTCCTCCTACCAAGGCTGACTATGTTACATTCTTTCATCATGTACCAGGAACTGGGGGTATGAAAGAAGCTATTCATGATCCCACAGACACTAGAGCTGTTTTATGTTTCATTGTTAAGCGATAAGAATGTCTAGCTTCTGTAATTTTCAGGGTCTTTCAGCTTTTTGGAATGATACTTGTCTTGTTCTACATAGAGGAAAGTGACTGGATTATTAGCTAGTGTGGAAGGTCAGGGTCAGGATTTCTAGGATTTTTCCCTTAGTGTGGTAAATTGGCTAAGCAATGATACGGCAGTAGAAAACGGCCTCAGTGGTGTCTCAGTGGGAATTTTCCCACTGACCTCGTCAGTATCCTCATCAATGGCAGTGGGGATTTTCTCACTAACATCAGCAGAAATAGGAAGTTTTTTGCTCTTCTTCCTCCTGGGAGAGGGGAGGAAATGCAGCATCACCAGCATAAAGATATTCTTTGACAGTGGGAACATTGGGGCACAGGGGTAGTGTGTACAGCCCAGAAGAGATGTGAAACATGATCGTTTTTAAGGTTCTTTAACTGGTGCCAACCCTGTTTTACTTCATTCTGTGACTTGGACCACAGAAATTGGTCTGACTACATGACTACAGACTGCAAAATTACTTGTTACCCTGTGCATCTGTCTTCTGTGAATCTTGTGTCTTTTTAGAGTTTTGCATCCACATTATGCGAAATATCTGATTTCTTAAGAGTCTATGGTAAAAAAACAAGTGAAAATGAGTGTTTTCAGTTAAGCTTCTCCTGGAGGCTTTGAGCTCAGTTTAAAGTGAAACTCAGGGCTGGTCGTGCTACAGATCATGAGGAGCATAACTGAAAGAAAACAGTATTTTCTTTAACTCTTTCAAAGCGAAATCAACACTGGGGCTGCCAGCTCTAATAGTTTTATTGTGTGACTGGCAATATTTAGAGGTTCACTTACTGCCCCAGCTCGTATCACAATCCTGTATGAAAATCTCAGCATCCTTTCTTATTTTTAATGTTTCTAGTCCCTCATGATAAGACACAAAGAACTCAACAAATAAACTCCTCTAGCTAATAAATTAAACAATAGCATTACCAGCCCCCTAACATCCAAGAATCTTGAATCGAACCCCACAAAATAATTATTCTTGAACATTGGAGGCTGACAATACTTCAGGAAGCTTTATCAAGTTCCCTTCAGGCCTCTCTGGTTTTAGTTTCTCACCTGCTCTGAATATTTTGTGTGACCTTTGGCAAGCCATGGGAATTATATGACATACATGTCCCAGTGGGATCTTTCCTGTTGAGCTCCTCCGTTTCCTCATCACCTCCACTGGCAGTGGGAATTTTGTCACTAGCTTCAGCAGAAGTATGATTGGCTCCACTACTTTGCAAGAGTGTATAGAAGCTAATTTACACTGAGATCCATAGATGGATGATGTCTGAGAAGTGAAACATATTTATTATTGTATCTCTTGCTGCCAGCAGCTCAGATCCACCAGTGGCAGCAACACCTAGGGAACAGATACACGTATTTACCCTATAGTAAGTTGGCTCTGCTACATAAAGTAGACATAAGATGCTGAGTCCCACTACACAGTAAATAATTTCAACTTGTAGAAGGAGTGTAGGAACTTTACTTTGCAGAACAATTACTACAGGGGACTTATTGTGCATCTGCTTCCCAAGTCAATGTTACCACCTTGCAACCTTTACTCAGTGCAAACCACTTCCCCTGCCATCTAATGGCCAAGCACCCTAATAGTGCCAACCATGGAAAAGTGATTTGTGAGAGCTGGTCTGCTTTCTACTATGGAGTAAAATCTGGGGTACATTACTCCATCATAATCATGCCATGTATCCACATCTTGAGAGTCATATGGTAGGCACAATGTAGCAGCCTAATATGAGTTAAGTACCATGTTGCATATATTCTGAGCAGTATTAGATGATACCATAGTTAAAAACTTAGTAGTCATCCAAATACCTTTCTAAATTAGTGCTGCTTCAGTTGCTATCACTGGTGAGTTTGCACTGGTATTATTAACAGTGCTGAGAGATTTGAGAGAAATGAGACTAAGAAGAATGCTTTACTATTGGTTTATATGCAAGGTGTCCAGGCATTAGAGTGGGAATGATAGGATAAAGACAGAAAAATAGCCCAAAAGATGTCTGAATAAAGGAATTCTGCATGTGGAAAGCTAGCTGAAGACCTAATGGATTTTCCACTGCGCTAAGCTACCCAAGTTTTCCATTGGCTACTGCTCTGGGATTTTGAAACTACCCAACATAGCTAAAAGCTTTAAGGACTTAAAAATGTGTTTTAGAGCCTGGCACAAAACAATTTCTTCTCCACAAGAAATTCTAATATATTGACATTTTTTTTTAAAAACAGAACAAGCTCAAATTTTGAAATCTGCTGCAGAACAGAAATTGCAACAATTCTGATTCAGAAACACTGAGATAAAATACATATATAATAATATCTAGAAATAATATTAGGATACTATTTTAAATAATATAAGTCTCATGATGATAAAAGTTGGAACAAACTGTTTCTTCTTTCTGCTGTTGAAAATCGACATCCACATGTTCCCACAACACATTTTGATGTTAGCAAACCTGAAAACTATTCTATTGAAGATGCTTTGCCCAGTTCCAGCATATGCATTCCAAGCACTTCCTTTGCACTCTGCATTATAAAGTGATAGAGAATCCTTTAATAGGTCTATTAATTATTTGGTCCCTGTATAAATGTGTGATATGTCTTATTTCAGGTGCATTCAGACACTTCTGTGTTTCACCTGGCTAGGCTGCCAGGTCACTGGTGAGGGTGGTAAAAACTCCCTCTCTGCACACTGTGCATACCCAGCCCTTCAGGAATATGTATCATTCCACCAGCACATAACCTTGTGAACATTTGGAAAGAGTCTCCTACCGGGGATACAGGAATCATTGACTCATTTGCAGTAATGGGAATGATTCCAAGGGATGTCCTCCCTTTGGGGATGAAAAACACCCTGGGTGTGCTGAGCATTAATCCTACTTATTGACTCTCCCCATAAGCCCTTTACTAAATGGAGCCCAGAAAGGGTTAAGGCAGTAGTTGGAGAGGTTTGGGGTGACGTCGTGCTTCTGGACGTCTGAGAAGTCTCTTGAAGGTAGTTCCCCTCTGGTGATGATGGGGGCGAGCCGAGGTCTGAAATCCGAGATCCCTCGCAGCCTGGACTTGGTGAGGTCCCAGTAAAAGCTGCTTGTCTGCTTTCCTTCCCTGAGCAGTCACCCGATTGCACTGGCCTGGGCAACATGGAGCTAGCCCCCTGGACGCACATAGGACTTACACTCCTCCAGCTCCTTCTCATCTCCTGCCTGCCAAGAGGTACTGTAAGTAAGCGAGTGCATTCTCTCCAGGACTGAATGGATCCCTTCTTTTTAGTGTGGTCAGGGGCTTTTGATCTTACGCTGTGTCATGGGAAGCAGAGAGATCTGGAGGGATGTTAATCATAGAAGGAAGGGGCTTTTATTTATTTATTTATTTATTTTGCTGGCATTGAGGGAATATGTCTAGGATAATTTCCAGAGAAATTTAATGGGCTTAAAGAGAAACAACTGGCTGGATATGCTTGCCAATGGCCATCAAGCAAAGGATCTGCAATCACTTCACCTACTTACTGCTTTCTTTTATTAACACTCCATGCTAAGGAAATGATGACAAAAAGAGGCATTTTAAGCTCTGAATTGTAAAGCTTAATTTGTTTGGCTTGGCAAGAGAGAGACTTTCCTTTCCAGCCCCAACACCAAGAATGAAGGGGAAAAAACATGAGGGAAAGAAGGAAAACAAAAGCCACACATTGTTTCCAATCTGGGCTTTACTTCTGCCAATATTATTTTTTCAAAGGGGAAACCTTGTTAAAGCTGAATGATCTTTTTAATGTAAATTCTTGGTTTCCGCTGAACCAGCATGTACAGTTCATTCTTGATAAGATTAAAGAAACAATGAGCCCTTCTATCGGAGTGTAAATTTACTATGATTTTTTCCCTAAGAATGTTCACGGTTTCCGCTGTAAAGTGGATCAAGCTACTTACAAACATTAACTCCTGTCAATTTGTACTGCTCTTTGGGGAAGCTTACAAACTAGCTGAGGTAAGGTGCTTCCAAATCTCGCATTTTGCATATGTGAGAGACCAGTGACAGCAACATTCCCAATAAGGTGTCCCTCTTTAAAAAATAATGGTGAATGGAAAGTTTAAAATAAATACTACAATGATCTAGACAATGCAGATTGCAATAGTGATAAATAATATAGCACTAACGATAGTGGCCCAGGATCATCCCCCATCTCTGTGGGGAGGAGAGAGAAAACCAGGATGGACTCCTTCTGTGTCATTTGTATACTCTTACCTCCTTTGCCCTGCGAGATGCCCTCAAGGGAGTAGACAAGGTTGGAGGATGAATACACTGTGCCAGTTTTGTGTTTCATAATGTTAACGAAGGGAACTCCCTCCAAAATTTTCAGCTTCATTAGTAGAAGTGTCATCTACTGGATCCACAACACACGCTCCTTCCTTCCCAAGTACGTCACTTCTTTTTCTCCACCATTTCACCTAGAGGCTTCCCCATCTATAGTGCTGACTGAGGCTGTGGTGCATTGCTTCCCTATATGGCAGCTGTTCCTTATCCAAGGAAGTAGTTTGCCATGCAGCAGTAGTAGGTATATTCAGAAGAGCACAATGGCTGTAACATTGAGACAGACTGAAAAACAATATTGTGCCTCCTCCACGCAGATGTAAACAATTTCTGACAAAGACTATCACACTCTTCTGCATGGGTCCTGCCTGAGGATTTGAGGGCAGGAGCTGGGGGGAGGAGGTGAAAGGATTAGGGAGTTGTTTTTTGGAATACATTTGAAATGTAACTGACTCATATTTCCCAAAAGAAATGCGTGCATATCTTAACCAGC